TGGCCCCTCCAAATACAATGCAAACACGTATTTCAATGAAAATAATTATAAATATGCTTCGCCGAAAGTAAGTATAAAATGTAAGTCGGAAAGTGACATTCTTAAACGTGGTCGCGTAAATAATATGGAGAATTTACAAAGTGAATTTATAAAGCGGGCAACTTCGATCGATCCACATAAAGAATGTATAGATAGTTTACAATCGCGACGGAAGCGGTTATTTGATAAGAAAGACAGGATTGCCTTGATATATAAAAAGAGGTATGTTACGCGAAGCTTAGGGTAGTGATTTGGTTTAGTAGGAATAATTGTATTACGTGCAGATTAAGTATGAATAGGAAAAGGTTGGGTAGGCAGAATCTACTCCATGTGAATAGGATGAAAAAGTTCTTTAGGAGATAATTTAATGTTTTCTTGTTTTCTATTAGGTTATCTAATCTTTTATGTTTACTTTTCATGTGGGACCACATTGACGTTATGAGAAATATTTGGAGAAAAATTAATATTTTCCTGTACATGCAGACTTGGAAGGAAAGGAGGAGAAGATACACCATCATATAGATAAAATTTACTTTTGTTTTCCTTTTTCAATTTGATAGATATATTATCCTGTATGTGCGAATAGTTCATGCTCATCCTCCAGTTGATCAAGGACTGTCTGCATTCTGGGAAAATATATTTATTTAATTATTAGAAATTCTTCATGTGGTATACCCTCATACCATATGTGTCTTGGAAGTATGTAGTTAGAATATGTTGTTGACGTTATACGTGGGTTGGTTTTTGTTTGTTTAAAGATTGTAAGTGAAGCTGATGGAACGTGATAGCTGCAAAATGAGGACTAAGGCAGCTGGGAGATCAATAGTGATGTAACCCAGTGATCGTCCGATGGGTGTTCAAGCCTGTGTCGTCGTTGTGGCAGCATCCACGTTGGAGATAGCTTAGGCTGAGATAGTTAGGAACTTGTAGTGATGTTTAGAATTTTTATTAGGGTCGTTCAGCCAGTTTAGGGTCGATAAAATAAAGTGTTAGGGTTTAGTCAGGTTCCCTAATTAGCTAGGATAGCTAACGAGTAATTATATTTTTATTTGTTTGTTTAGGATGTGATCATGGTCTGTCCTTTTAGATAGGTTTTTGGCAGACCAAAGCCATAGCCTCCTCGGTGGTTTACTTGGTAAGTTGATAGCTTCCGAGCAGTGTGTGGCTAGTCTGTAGTAAAGGCTGATCACTATGTATGTTGCCTATCATAGGTAGAGCACTAGCTAGGGATATTCACCCCTTCAGCTGTGAGGAAGAGGGATGTAGACGAGGCTGTACTCTATGAGTAGAATTGCTGGCTGAACATAG